AGAACCAGGAGCAGTAAATCCTAAGACTAAGGCCTAAGGCTAAGGGATCCCCTCCTGCCCAGGTCCAAGTTCACAGTCCCTTAACCGGACTCCTACAGGAGCCCCCCACGGTCTTCGCCTCCAGTCTGCCCCCCTTCAGCCCGCCGTACGTGCTACCGACAGAGGTTTCTGGAAGCACTGGCAATCGGGTCCGCTCCTCTCTCTTTACACCCCTCACTGGCCTCTCTGCTTACAGGTGACTCCCAGCTGGTCGGTGTGGCCCGCGTGGTCAACCCCCCACCCCCGCTGTGCTGCCTGCAGACCACGTGCCCGCGGCAGGAGGGCGAGGGGTGGAGACTCACCCAGGCCTCGGCAGGCCTGGACAGCATCTCCCTGCACGGGACCCCTCTGCTCCGGGAGGTGGCGGGCACTGCCGAGGCCTTGCTCAGGGGCAGCCAGGCCAGAACTGACCTGGCAGAGGAGGGGCAGAGGCACGAAAAGCGCGGAGAAGCAGCGCAAACCACACGTAAAGCTCCCGCCTCACCCCCAGCCCCGCACTTAGCCAACCGAGTCCCTTATCATTAAGGCAGTTTGAGTGGGAGAGCTGTTCCCTGCACACCAAAGCCTGCCGACCGGCCGGGGCGGCCTCTCCTGGGGCAGCACCGCTGCTCGGGCCGCGCGGAGCTCTGCAGCTCCCTGGCGAGGCTCCCCCTGCCACCTCACTCCCAATCGTGCCCCCGGTTCGTTCCTACCTAATCTTGAGAGGATCTCCTCCAAAAACATCTCCCCACTCCTCCTGCCAGGTGGGATTGCCTACCTTTTCCCTTTATGCCTGATGTAGCTGGATATTCCTGTTATACTTCTCGGCACACTTTATTCCAGCTGTTTGCTTGGACATCTGTCTTACCAGCTCTGTGAGGACACTGCACTCGACCTCGGCAGAGTGCCCAGCACACAGAAAAGGCTCACGGGAAGAGCACCCACCACACCGCCCGGCAAGGAGGACCATGATGTACAAGTTCCCAGTCACTATCCGTGCAGGACTTACACACACACAAAAGAGCAGCGGTCCACCTGCGGCACCATTCCAGAGCTAGACCCCAGGTTAAAAGGTGTATGTAACAGAAAGCAGATCACGGAAATACTATCCATGTGCTGTATCATAAGCACGTTAATGATAATTTGCCAGATGTGTTTAACAAGTTCGAAATCCTCTTACTGGAGAAAGGGCATGTAAGTAGACGATATTTATGTGACTTATACTTAGGACAAAAACTTCTCTTTTAGTGTGCTTGTCTTCCTCAAATGTGTTTTAAAAGATAAGGTCTAACAAAGCAAGGTTATCTTCCTTTCTTTTTTATGACGCCAGAGAAGTGCTATCGAATCCTGTGTCTAAATGGCAGTTGACATCAGTGAATATGCAGGAACAGGTGACTTGTGAGAAGGGCAAGGTTTCTCCTTTTCGGGACAGGGAGAGACCCCTCTGAGGAGGAAAGGCCCTCACAAGGCAGTCACCAGACACTGCCTTTCTTCTTCCCCTTTTTGTTTCTGCCTCTGCCTGGAACGGCAAGGAAAACCGAGGGAGCAGAGGAAACAGGCGGTGTCTAACGCCTGGCTGACAGCAGGTCTCACGGCGGCTGGGTCTCCACTGAGAGACTGTCAAAGGCTCTAAGAGTTCCGTCGCCTGGGGAGGGAAGACAGGTAACAAAACTAGTTGCTGAAACATCAACCTGGAAAGGTTTCTGACACTAAGCAAAGGATCTGAAGAGAAAACTGACCGCACCGTGTTAAGACGCTTAGGTTGCAACTGTCTATCTTGACATAAAGACTACTAAGGGCCTACTGTCCATGGAGTTAACAAGATGCTCTATAATTTTTTTAAATAAAAATATAGAAAAGTACGAAACATCAGAATAACAGACACTCACACACCTAGCCTCCAATAAACAAAATCAGCAGCTCCATATCTGCTTTCGGTCATCGCAGTTCAAAAGCACACAACATGTGAACACTTGTCAGGTAACCACACCCTCACAAAGTCGGGCTGTTTGAAGCGCAAGATCAAAACGATGGGATGACAGACCCACCTGGAGCCCACCTCCCCCTAATCACTCGCCAGCTTCAGGTCCAGAGCAAAGGCTCTCTGGAGACAGGCTCATTTTTGGTCTTACTCCCTGCCATGTCCCCAGCATACTGCACAGTGCCTCGCACACAGTAGGTGCCCCATAAATGCTTAACTAGTAAGTGACTGCAGAAAGAAATAAGCAGACTGGCCTTTTAGGCCCGAGTTCCTCATAGTGATTGCTAAGAAGACAGGGCCCTGGGGACTTCTCTGGTGGTCCAGTGGTTAAGACTCTGCGATTCCACTGTACAGGGCATGGGTTCAATGCCTGGTCAGGGAACAAAGATTCCTGCATGCCACGGTTGAAAAAAAAAAGATAGGGCCTTGGGAAGCCATGACCTTTGGGCTTATTTCCCCGTGTGTAGCGAGCCAAGGGCTCCGTGTACCAGCCAGGAGGGCCCTTCTTGCTCCAAAACACTGCGCCCCACTGAGGACGGCGAACGCACAAGTCTCACAAAACCATCCCACCACGCTGTTAAACACTACTTGCAAATATTCAGCTCAGGACGTTTATATTTCCTTCTTTGGTAAATTCTCAATTGATAACAGCAATTTCCATCCAAGCTCTGAAGACACTAGAATCTTCTTCCCCAGACCATGTGAGTCTATTGGGGCGGAGGGGGAAGGGGAGACTTAAACCACGATTTCCCACTTAGATATTGTGCATTCCCTCCCTGTTTCTGACATTCCTGCCCTTTAGAAGATTAAAATTTCCTTTCTATGGCAACTCTGTCTTCTAGTTCATCTGACTCTTTCACTTTAATTTTTAAACTTAACTTGAGAATGAATGTGAAAATGAAAGAGTTATAAGAATGTCATCCTTCAGATCCACTGATGGACAGTAAAATTAGTGGGCAAAAGCTTGCAGAGAAACAGGATATTTGCATAGTTGCAAAGTATCTCCCCCAAATATTTATATTACAGAGACAGTAGTAACTTTATAGTGGAGAAACCTGGCAAACACCCTGTTAACCGAGTAATCAAGGCTCACATCGCCAGGAACAGGACATATCGAGAGCATGTACCCCTGACAGGATGCTCTGAGCAGACACATCACTTCAGTGGTCTCCTTGCCAAAAAACGCATCATCTCATTCTAATGATGAGAAAACACCAGACAAACCCAAATAGGGACATTCTACAAAATGACTGACTGGTGCTCTTCCAATGTGTCAAGGTCATGAAAACCCAGGAGAGACCGAGGGGCTGTCACTGACAGGCAGGCTCAGGAGAAACAAGGACTAAATGCAGGGTGGCGTCCAGAGCCCGATCCTGCCTTATAAGAAGGGCTTTTAGAGGAAAAGCGGTTAAACCTGAATGAGGTCTACAGGTTAATTAACAGTACCGTACCAACGTCAGTTTCCCGCTTTTGACGAGTGTGCTACGATTGTGTAAGATGTGAGCATCAGGGGAGATCAGGTGAAGAGTACATGGAAGCTGAACTGAGAGGATTACCAGGCAGACTGTGCAGAGCCCCACAAATAAGTGAGAAAAATACACATAACTCACTAGTAAAAAACTGGCAAAAGACATGAATAGGCATTTCCCAGAAGAGGAAACACATACAGCCAATAAGTCTGGGAAACGTCAATTAAACCCTAAGGAGATACTATAAAAATAGAGCATACCTTGGCTCCTTCGGCTAAAAGGAGATTCTTAAGAAGTTTTGAAGTCTGGTAACACCAAAGACTGGCAAGGATGAGAGCAACAGGAGCCCTGCGCTGCTGGCAGAAACACAACTGGTATAGTCACTTCGGAAAATAACGTGACATATCTTGTCTATTTGGAGGCATATATGCCCTACAACTGGCCAATTCCCCTCCTTGGTAGATGTCCTGGAGACCCCCGAGCACGTGCACCTGGGGGCGCACGGGAGAGAGCGCAGCGGATTTGTCTGTAATAGCAAAACATGGAAAACGATTCCAAAGTATACGCACGAGAGAACGGATGCACGCGAGTACGTCCACACAATAGGGTAGCAGACAGCAGCGAACATGAAAGGACCACAGCCACATGCACTGCATGAATAAATTTCTAAATACTGGGTGAAAACTGCAAGTCGCGGAAGAATACATACAGGATGAAACCATTTATGTAAAGTACGGAAACAGGGAAAACTCAAGACTCTTTTTTAAAAATAAATACATAGTATGGCACCACCATAAAGAAAGGCAAGGGACCGGTGACTTAAAACTTGGGAACCTGTTTCTCAGGGGCAAAGGGATGTGAAGGTCAGTGTGATTTCTGGGCACCCCCCAGGGGGTGTATTTATATCAGCCAGGCACATCTATCCTAGTTATAGGAGAAAAATGATACTCATCTTCACACGCAGGTAATGCTGAAGGATACTTAGGAAAAAACCAGAACGCAAATAGGCTAGACACCCCGAATTTTCTGTTTAAAGACTCATATCCTAAATGAAGCTAAGTGACAAAGATGACGAGGCTGTGTGAAACTTTCAGACCTTAAAATAAAAGGAAAGAATCCTAAGGGGACAACTTGGAAGGGTTCAGGTTAGCTTCCCAGGCATAGATCTGAAAACATTCATGATTTGCCAGGCAGGACCCATACTTCACAGCTGCAAAGTTCTCTTAAGGACACATTCATTTCCTACTATGAACAAGATCTAGAAAATGTGAGTTCCTTGAGTTACACCAATCTTGACTATTTTAAGAATCCTTCATATTCCTTGGACAGAAACATTTATCTAGCCTGAGTTAATTAATTTTGTTCCTCTCAAACCATTTAGATAGCTTAATTAGCCTCTGTTATGTGTTTCTGTTCTTAAATATCAGGGTCTAGAGCAATTTACAGCTTGCCTGTACTTTTACAGTTTTTAAAGGAAATTCTACCAAAGGTCAAGAACACAGTCGTGTAGTCCAGACAGAGGGCTTACTCACCAGCTGAAACTCGCTCCTCCGGCTGAAAGCTTCCCTGATGCCAGAATCCCTCCAGAGCGCGCTCAGAGCAGGTACGTACAGCTGAAAGGTGGCAGGCTCCACGGGCAGCCCTGCTTTGTTCTCAAAGGCCATGAGGAACATCCCGTGCTTCTCATTTTCAGAATACTGCCAAGGAATACCAAGCTTGTCTCGTGCATCAACCAGAACCCTTGAGCCCTAGGAAAGAAAAGAAATCAAAGGATTTCATTGTGCTGCAAAGGCGAAATCACAACAGAGAACCTCGATGTGGCCATTGATCGTCATACAGCAGGAAACTCACAAGCTGCAACCAGGACTTGTCTCTTGGTTTGTTTTGTCCTGGCATGAATGTCTTGCTCCCAGGAATGTAACTGTATTAAGACAGATGGACACACAGATCACATCACAGGCCTGCCTTTTGCTGTCACTCATTTGAAAAGGTCCCGGAAGGCAGAAAATTGAATGAGGAAGAAGCGGCAACAAACTCAGCAAAGTGACATTTGCAAATGAAGCGTGAACCACGTCAGTGAAAGAGACAGTGTTTTAAGACAACTACAACTGTAGTACTACAGCTGTCATCATCACTGAAGTCTGGCAGCTCCTCAACACCAGAGGACGCACTGCTCATCCCAACTTAAAAGGAGTGGGGAACGTAAACACACAGGCAGTCACGAGACGGGAACAGACCGAAATGGACACAAGTCAAGAGGCCCGCCCACTGAAAACAGGAGCTGGGGGATCACGTTCTAGATCTGCGATGATGAGAAACTATTTTTCATTGATTTGCTTATTTCCTCACTGTTAAAAATAAAGTTGGGATTTTCTGCCTTTTCCTTACCTCACTGACAGGGTCAAGGGGACAGAGAAACAGCCTGAACTAAAACAGTATTAGGGAAAGTGGCCAAATTGTGGAAAATACTGTCGTGGTGAAAACCGCCTCCCTGGGCAGGAAGGAAGGAGGTCTATTCCATCTTTCTCAGGTGAGTACTTCAAAGTTAGCAACACAGCATCTAAGGAAGTCTCTAAGTTCTCCTGACTGGAGACTCCCTGGCAGCATCAGTACTGGATGAGCCAGAGCAAAAGGGTCCCTCCCTACCTGGAAAGGCCTTGGCTGGCTCCGAGTGGCTGGGGGACCTGGGACGATGGACAGCAGTACCCTGGCCCCCAGCACAGGGACGGCAGGACAACAGCCCTTTTGGAGTATAAGTCGCATAACATACAATTGCCCACTGACAGTGTGCAGCTCGATGGTTTACCCCAAACCAGGGCAAAGGAGACGAGTCCGTGCTGCCTGCCTCTGCTGTAGCACCTGCCTTGAACCACCAAAGTGAGTGGTAATGGTGACCAGAAACTAGCTACAGTCTCCCCTCCAGACCCAGGGACCTGGACTGCCTGGTTAGAGATGTTCCTGTGAGCTCCCTCCTCAGGGTCCATATGCCCATCTGCCACTGGTGGCCATGGCCTGTCCTTCTGATCCACAAACTTGTTTAATGCTTCCCTGGGGCGAAGCCCTGAGATAGGCACTGTGGGAAAAGAAAATGCTTATGAAACAATGTCCGAGCGCTGGACGCTCAGAATCTGGCTAGGGAGACAGATATGTGGATTAAAAAAATTAACACCCATTGGGCTTCCCTGGGCGCAGTGGTTAAGAGTCCGCCTGCAGATGCAGGGGACACGGTTTTGTGCCCCAGTCCGGGAAGATCCCACATGGCGCGGAGCGGCTGGGCCCGTGAGCCATGGCCGCTGAGCCTGCGCATCCGGAGCCTGTGCTCCGCAACGGGAGAGGCCACGGCGGTGAGAGGCCCACGTACCGCAAAAAATAAATAAATAAATTAAAAAATCAACACCCACTAATAATAAAAACTCCCAGAAAACTAGGAATAGAGAACTTCTTTAACTTCATAAAGAACATGGGCAAAAACTCTCAGCTAACATCAAAATCAATGGTAAAAGACTGAATGCTTCCCTCTAAGAATGAGAATAAGACAAGGATGCCCACTTTTATCACTGCTATTCAGCATGGTTCTAGCCAGTGTGGTAAGGTGAAGGAAAGAAATATAAGGTACATGGATTAGAGAGAAAAAAAATAAAACTAAGCCTATTTACAGATGAAATGATGGTCTATGTAGAAAATCCAAAGGAACAGACCAAAGAAACTCCTAGAATTCAAGTTAATTCAGCAAGGATATAGGATATAAAAATCAACCTACAAAAGTCACCTGGCTTTCTATATACTAGCAATTAACATATGGAAATTGAAATTTAAAATGCAATACTATTAATAATCACACAAAAATGAAACACTTAGGTATAAATCTAACAAAACATGTACAGGATATGTATGCTGAAAACTATAAAATGTGTTGATGAAAGAAATCAAAGATCTAATAAATGGAGGGACATACCATGTTCATGGATTGGAAGCATCAACATAATAATAATGTCAATTCCCTCCAAATTGATATACAGGCCTAACAATTTCTATAAAATCCCAGCAAAATCTTTTATGGATATAGATATAGATATAACTATTCTAAAATTTATATGGAAATGCACTGGATTAACTAAAACAATTGTGAAAAAGAAAAATTAAGGGGGAGGAATCCAATTTCCAGATTTATTACATAGCTACAGTAAGCAAGACTATGCAGTATTGGTGAAGGACTAGACACATAGATCAATGGAACATAACAGAAAACCCAGAGATGGTCCCACATAAGTATGGTCAATTGATTGTTTTGAAGACCCAAAAGCAATTAAATAAAGAGTAGCCTTTTCAATAAATGATGTTGGAGGAACTGGTTGTCCATAAGCAAAGGAAAAAAAAAACAAAAAACAAAACCTTGGCCTAAACCTCACACCTTATACAAAATTGACTCAAAACGTAAAACTACAGCATAGGAGGAAAACTTCAGGACCTACAACTTGGTGAACAGTCCTTAGACATGACACAAAATGCATGGTTCATAAAAGAAAAATATCGATAAACTGGACTACATCAAAATTAAAGCTTTTGCTTTGCGAAAGACTCTCTTAATAAAATGAAAAGACAAGCTAGTGACTGGTAGAAAATATCTGCCAACCACATATCTGACAAAGGACTCATATTTAGAATATACAAAGAATGCTCAAAACTCAATAGTTAAAAAAACAAACAATCCAGTTGGAAAGTGGACAAAGGCATGAAGAGTTGTTTCACCAGAGAGCACACACACAGCAAGTAAGCGGATGAAAAACAGGATGTCCAAGTTCACCGGCCATCAGGGAAAAGCACACTAAGACTGTGATGAGACATCACTACACGTCTATTAAAACAAAAAGCAGTGACAACAAATGCAGAGATATGTGATCTCTAATACACTGCTGGTGCAGATGTAAAATGGGACAACCACTCTAGAAAATCGTTTTTCAGTTTCTGAAAAAAATTCAACATACGCTTAACATACAACCCAGCAACCTCACTCCTGGGCATTTATCCCAGAGAAATGAAAATTTATGTCCACACAAAAACCTGTGCAGGAATGTTCACAGCAGCTTTATTCACAATGGCCACAAACTAGAAACAACCCAGATGTACTTCAATAAAACAAATGGTTCAACTGTGGTACCTCTGTACCATGGAATACTATTCAGCAATGAAAAGGAATGAACTACTAAAGCACACAACTTAGATGGATCTCAAAGGTCACATACTATGTGATTCCATTTATATAATATTCTTGAAGTGAAAAAATCATAGGGGTGGAAAACAAAATTAGTGGCTGCTAGGGATTAGGGCTGGTAGAGGAAAGAGGGTGAGTGTGACTAAAGAGGGGAGGGGGATCTCTGTGGTGACGGGGCAGTTCTGTATCTTCATAAGCAGCGCTGGTTACACAAAACTACACAGGTGATAGTAAGTCTCAGAATCCCACACATACATTGTACCAATGTCAGTCTCCTGGTTTTCATATTGCACTATAGATACATAAAAGGTAACCACTAGGGGAAATTTCCTGTGAACCTATAATTATTTCAAAATAAAAGTAAAAAAAAAGTTAACTAGCAATTACAGCGATATATGTTCCAATTACATGGTGTGGAAAGGGAAGATTACTAGAGGCCAAAGGAAGAGAGACAGGTAGGAGGAGGTGAGGCTCAGAAAACCCTAAGTGCCGAATAATTTCAACAAGTGGCAACAGTGCATCAGAACCGACCCAGAGGGGAAACAGGACTCAAATCAATCCTCAGCTCTCCTTCCTCCCTGTCCCCTCCTCCACCCATTCCTGCACTCTCTCTGGCGACATCACCCCGACTCCCCCCCCTCCCCGCCCCAGAGGGCAATAGTTGAAATGTTCCAGAACCATGGAGACAAAGATGCTTCACATTCTCCACATTACGTGCAACAGCGCAACAGCAAGCATCCGAGCACAGAGAAAGGAGAAGCGATTTCTCTGGTGAGCTTCTAGGCAAAGGGTCACAGCACCTTTGTGTGAATCACAGGAAGGTTCCCGCAGGCTCAGCAAGGAGCTGGGTCAGGACTTCAGCCCCACCTGCCCCCGAGTCAGGCAGCCAACACACCTACCATTCATGATGGCTCTGCCCGCACGACTCAAATGCAGCACCTCCGACTTGACACAAGAGCTATCTTTCCAGTGCTCTGTTTACGAGTTAAAAAGTTTACTTCCCAAGGAGCACACACAGCCTCACTCATGGGTTAAAGCGAGTCTCTGCTCCCTCGGGAATTGACGTTGGAGGCAAAGGCAGGGAACCAAACAGGCCTTTAGAAGCCTGAGCCGTCGTTTACCAAGACTGCTTTCAATGCTGCACAGACCAGGCCTGCCCTAATTACTGGGGTGAACACAGGTTTGGCTTAAAAAAGCCCGGTGTATCCAAAAGCAGCCTGTGTTCCCACTGCACACTGCCACCCAGGCAAGCTGGAGCTGGTCCAGATTAACTTCACCCAAACACGAAGAAAAGGCTCCTTATTTCTCCTTTTTAGAAATTCAGGGAAATTGGCAAAACTGCTGACCAACTTTGAATTCTACCAGTGAGCTCTGGTCCATTTTCTATATCTTACTCACTTCATTTGGAGGGAAAGGGCATCAAGAAAAAAAGCTCTCTCTTTTGCCCTTATTTTAAATTATTCTAGCCAAAAACTACTCTCTGTTAACTTTGTTCTGAATCTCAAAGCTGAGCTCTACGGAACTTTTCTACTCTGG